CCATTACCCCCTGTCCTGACCAGCAATGAGAAGAGTTTGTCCTCTTCCTCCCTACATTCTCCCTTCAGGTACTTAAGGACCTTCATGAATCACTACAATATAGAGATTTTGAAGAACGAATCTGTCAAACAATTAAGTACAAGAAGACTTTCCGGACAGGTAAACCCACCAGTTTGAAACATAAATAAAACTCTTTGAAGCCAAATGTATATCATGCAGTTGATATTGACTGGTGAGACCACCTAGAAAAAAACAGTCTTTTATCAAGATTTGGCTTGAAACTCTCTTGAAAATGATGGAAAAGATTCTCCATCAGAGACTCTTCCACCAAGAATATCTCCTTCACAGACACCCTTCTGAAAAACTTAAGTTTTTCTGAGGTATTATCTGAGGCATCTTACCACAAATAAAAAAAGGTTGAGTCTTTTAAAAAAATCTTCCACATTAGTCAATTTGGGACTATTTTACTGAAAAGTTCTGTTAGTTTACTTTCTACTTTGAGATTCCTGAAGAATTATTCTTAGTCATATAGTGCAGTACTAAAAGGAATGAGAATTAATCATTATGATTAGAAAACAAATATGAAGAATTTCTGGTCTTGAAAGGAAAGCTGACAATTACCATAGTCTTTAAGTGGCATAGTTTCTCTTTTCCAGAAGAAAAGAATAATTATATGAGGTATATCTTTTGCTGTATATTTTACTTCAAAATTTAGAAAAAAAAAAAAAAAACCTACACAAACAAACGAAAAAGACACAAATTTGACTGCACCACTTGTTACCTGGATGCCTTAGGAGAATCCTATTTTTTACAAAACTGTCAGTTTATTCTCACAGCAAAGATATACCATATAATTTACAGGTACACAAGCATAAGGCAAAAACTAGATGAAGCCTTGAAAAGAATCTGTGGCAAAACCAGGTAATGCTCTATTATTTCTAGCAAGACACTACTCTAAACAGTTCTTGAAAGTTTACAGTGGGAGAAATAGCTCCATTTATAACTTTTTATTTAGGAAATTTTCTCAATAATTCAACATAAATCACTTCTGCAGTGATTTCYTTCTCTTAGATCCCCCTAGACAGAAGAAATAGTTGAGTGCTGTGATTTTCAGCAGCCTTTCACATGCTGGAAGATTTGGAAGACCATTACATTTTTGTCTACTCTCCTAAATACAAAGCAAATCTAATTCTTTCTGACTTTCTCTACACCTGATTTACCTGATTTCTTTACCCTCTGATCATTATTGTTCTCTTCTAGCAACATCTTTTCAGGGGCATTTATTCTGGATGGTCTCAAACTCCAAAGGCATGTAAGCAAAGCTGATTTTAACCTGGAATAGTCAGATATGGCATGCCAAAACATGWATAGTATTCAGACATGTATAGTGGTGTTCTTGCATTTATCTTCACATAAAATTACCCCTGCTAATAACATTGCATTTGCATAGTATTTTTTTGTTGTTTTTGCTTTTGGGTCAACATAACAGTCTGAGTTTTAGTTGACGCCTCTTGGCAAACAAAAGACCTGAAAAAGAGGCTCCACTCTACTGTGAATGTGTACTGTGTCCATACAGATTTAGGATGACATTCTTGAAGTGGCATTATATGAACTAGACACTTCGGACTGACTGCACTGAAAATTGAGCACATTCCTGCCCCACGACTTAGAGAATTCTTCCATGACGAAAAGCCATATGGGCGAGTTTTAAAATTGTGACAAGGTAGCTTGTGACACCACCAACTCCAGCACTTATAACAATGTAGTAGTTCCTGGATTATAGCCAGTGAATTCTGTTACAGTGGGAAAAAAAAAAGGCAGTAAAAAACCTACACATTTTTATTTTAGTTTTGGTAAATCTGGATAAAACATGGACTAAAAGCGCTCAGTTTTTTTATACATATATTATTTGACCACACATGGACTGCCCAGATTTTTTTATATATATTATTTGATCAGCTCTCTCATTCATTCTCATTCTGGTTCATATCTTAACATCCCTAGAATATTACAAAGTTGAAATAAAGTTCATATAGTATGTTATGGATACATAAATTGATGGTTTAACATTAAAAACTTGGAAATAATAATGATAAAACTACTTAACTCTTCTAAAAAGCAGAATTTGCAGGAAAGAATGCAATCTCCAATAAAGGCCTTATGTCTGCTAGGAGAGCTGCTGGCTTATTTCTTATCAGATAGAAGTATAGCTTTTTTTTTTTTTTAGTTACTGCTGTAAGTAGATGTAGTTTTCATTTATTTTCTTAAATTTATATAGAGATATCACAACTTTTCCAAAAATATGTTTACTGTCCAATACAGTATACAGTATTGTCCAATACAATATATCGGGTCACCTTTTTTCATTAATCATTTAAATTTGGCCTAAATTGCAGGAGAATTGYGGGGGAATATAGGGAAAGGTACACTTGGGAGTGTTGTTATAACATCTGATCTGGTTAACGAATCAGCAAGTGCACATATTGATGACTTCTGTATTCTGAACTGAACATGACTTATTGTCATCTCTCCTGCCTGGCTTGGGACAGRTGAGATTCAAGTGATGAAATTTCAAACAGAAACAATAAAGTTTGAAAGGTTAAAAGCTTCTCTTTTACTTAAACTTCATTATAGGCAATCAAATGAGAAACAAATAAATTGTAACATCTCTATTTGATGTCTCAGCTGTAAACTGTACGTTCTCAAAGCTGAAGTCAGTCAGACATCTAACACATATTAATGAACCCTCTCTACTTTTGCAGATGCAATTAAAATCCTCATCTTTATCTATGCAGCCTAGGTTAAAAAGGCTGATACCAAGCTGAAGGACTAAACAACAAAAAAAAAGCTAGCTAAACAGAAACAATGACATGAAGATGGAAAGTAGATGAAGTCCCAGAGAGAAACGATTTTGCCTTGCAGCAGGAATAACGATTAGGCTGCCAAGACACAAAAGCAGTCAAAAAGGAATCAAAGGAAAAAGAAAAAACAAAATTACTAAAGATCTTCATCTCTATTAGAACAGACTTTGTATTTCTTGTTTGAAATTTACTTGGTCTCCTTCTGTAAGAATATGCTATATAATTATGATGGCTTAAGAAAAAATAATGGTATCTTGCCATCATATTCCATTCCGTATGGGTATTCCCCCTATTGCTTAACATCAATACTATTAATTACACTATCTGGAGCTACTGTATTAGCAGGAGAAAAGATAACCTGCATATCTTTCAGGGTTGGAGACTCCATTTATATTAGATTTGAGCTGGATTATGTACTGGATTCATGGCCTCTTATACACTAAATTTGAGTGCACAAAAYTCAGTTCATCTGTGAACAAAGAATGAGCTAAATTATGCACAAAGAAATACACAAACATAAGCACTGAGTACACAGACACTCCATTGACTAGATTTTCTAGTTTCTCATTAACTGAAGGCCTGTACTGTTACTGCATGCTAATTGCTTGTAGAGGGGATTACTATTCTGATCAGTGCTTTTTAGGGCACAGTCAGCAAAGTTATTTTGAAACTTCACTAAGYAATTAGTGAAGAGAATGGATAGAACTGCATTTAGTTACATCAAAACATCTTTCTTGACTGTTTCTAGGCTGTTTGTGGCCTGCAGTATTACGATGAACTCTCAAGTATTTAAAGTAGTACACCTTCTGCAATGGACTGCTTATTAAGATCAGATTTTGGCTTAGCACTGAAGCAATTTAGCAGCAACTTTATTATATAAAGAGTAATTAGTGAAGAAATGGGCAGGATTTCATTTGCTTAATTCAAAACAACTTTCAGYGCCTTCACGAACCAAGACCTGCAGTGTCAAGATAAAATGAAGCATTCTGATAAAATTACCTTCTGCAATGTATTATTAATTGCTAACAGGTACGCACAGGCAGTGGTACTAATGTAGGCTGAATTTATATGCAGACAGTGATTCTATAATTAGAGTTCTATACAACGCTTGAATCACAAAAAATAACTCTGTTTTTAAGTGGTGAAATGGTAAAAGGATAAATAAAATTATATCCTAGTAAGCCTCCAGAAAGGAATCACTGCTGCCATGACATTCCATAAGCTGTGTAATCATTACAGCTAAACAAATCCAAGCACATGAACAAAAATATCTATGTCAACATAACTCAGGATGGGGCTTTGTGGTTCCCAACTTAGGCAAGCACTTAGAACTGAATTCGTTTTGAAGTCATTCAAGAGTTGCTGAAGTATCAACTCTTACTCCTTCATCTCCATCAAATACTTTCTATCGATTTAAAAGCTTTCTTGGATGAAAAATCCCCCATCCCCCTCACAGATCYTTTTCTCCTCCATTTCTTGCAAAACATTTCTTGATCCTCACTCTTCAAGGTGTTTTTGGACACATTCTGCTCAAGGACTTAGATGCCTTTTGGTTGACATAGGGCCATGTTCCATAGCCCTGCCTTCCCTCGTTGCTCTGCACCCATCTCCCATGCTACTGGGACAGTATTTCCAGAGCCTCAGTGGCAGAGCTTTTTCTGCACTGTTCTCACACATTTAATTTTCTGAAAATTATACATTATATTATATACATCCTTCAAATAGGATGACACCTCATACCCTTGATAGCTATTGGTAYTACAAAAGAATCAGCAGTTTCTATCACCCCCTAATATTTCTAATTAGTTGAAACAGCACACACACACACAAAAGAAAAAAAAATTATGGATCAAGAGATTTCAAGTGTCTCATGCAGAATATATGTAAGTGCTGCGCTGTAAGCAGTATGACTGGATAGCTGCTCAGGTGAAACTAACATTTGCTGTAATCATAATTTTCATTGTATGGGCACTTCTAACAAGTGGCAATTTTATTTAAAAATAAACAGTTTTGCATATATACATGTAYGCTGGAGAGAAACAAGCCTCTCTTAAACAAACACAGATGTCATGTGAGTGATTGCTCGGGCATGGTGTCATTAACACTGTTTTGTCCTATAGAGTGATTTGCTCTTCTTACCCTGGACCTTTCCTCCAGCTTGGTCATCATGACAACCGTGGCGCCCCGCTGCTCCCACATCATTCTCCAGAAGTCTCCAAAGGTTTCGGGCAGTGCCCCTTGTGTGGCAATATATGCATTCTGCTTTCTGTAGCCATCAATGTAGTTGGCGTTGATGTAGTCGCTGCCGGGGATGCCTGCAAAGAGAAAGGATTGAGTAACTGGCCAATGTTTCCAAGCTGCCCTGCTGTGGAGGTGAGCACTGCACTCTCTGGATCACTTAATCAATGGGTTCTATCTACAGTTAATCAACAAGTAATATTAAAATAATACTTAATTAAAAAGGATGCTGTTACCTAGAAGAGCAGCGGTCTTTCTACATGAGAAAAACTGAGAAATTTGTCCTGGAATCATATTAATTTTTTTTTTTTTTTTAAAGACATAGTGAGAGGCACTTTGTTGACTACAACAACGTAACATGTCCATTTCCTTTTCTGAAGGCAGTGGTCAGTAAGYTTAACACTTGGAGAAGCAAACAGACTGTGACACTGCGTTACCATTTCCTTTCCTTCAGCTAATCTCATCAACTGTGGCTGCATTTCTAACAAATTAAAATTAAAACCAAACAAATAAGAGAATTATCTTTTAAATTTTCTTAAATGAGAACTTTATTAACAGGGTGACCTTCTTGTCAGATGCCTTGACTCATCCATGTTTAACTCTTCTCTTTAGCTCATTGCTTTGCTTTTAAATACAGGAAAAAGGGTTAAAGTTGCCCCACTATTATTATTACTAAATGCCCTTTTCCCATAAATAGATTACTGCCCTCTTTCACCAGAAGCATTATTTTGACATAACACACTGTGGAAATCAGGTTTAAGAAACAGCCATATGCGTGACAAGGCACATGCATGAAATAAGCGTCTCTTTAACTCTGAATAAAAATTAAATTCCTGCACAAAAACGAGTCAGAATCTGAGATATGCATAGACATGCTGGACACAATACACCATCTGTCATGTCTGAGCAGGACAAATTGGTTACAGTGAAGACTGTGTTATTATTTTGAACTAATAAGGTGACTGTGCTCACAGGAAGCAGTACATACTGACAGAGGTCTCAGTCCCATCTCCACTCGACTAAGTGGTTCAGGTTCCAGCTTTAAGTCGCGCTATGTACATACTTGAAGATATATATATTTTGACATACTGACTTTATTTCTATTTTTCACTTGTTTATATTATTTTATTTTTATAGTTCCATTAACCCTACTAAATGTCTGTGCTAATGGGATGGGGAAACAGTGTTTCCCATACTACCGCAGTGTTGAACTCAGAAGCGTTTCCTAAAAGATTAAGCTAAAAATTATAAAAATCTGCATCATAATGAAAAGAATCAAAAGGCATTTTTAAGTAATTAACAAAAAATTTATCTGAGTAGAAATTAATGGTTTATGTTTTCACAGTCAATCTGGTAGGCCCACATCTATAACCTCAGAAGATGGTGAAGGTTGCACAAGCTGTCTCAGAAGAGTTGGGTGATACTCAGATAGTCTATAGCTTTCGGTAGAGCTGTGACTATTTCACTCTAAGAAGAYTTGAGAAAAAAACAACAAAGCTGAATTTCTTTGGGTGTGAACCACAATATAATATTAAATATGTTTAAGAGATATTTTCAAGCTTTGTGTCAAGAACAAAAATCCTCCAAGTCTACTCTGACCTGTTAGGTCCCAGGTGGGGGACTCAGTGTGGCACATTCCCGTCTGGTTGGAAAACCAGTGGTATATATCTGAAAAGTCTTCTAAAACAACAAAGGAAGTTGGATGCACAGAAGAAATATGCCCTTAATATTGGAAATATTTTCCAATTTCCGTCCTTAATATTTCCAATATTTTCCATCTTGGAAATAATTTGAAGAGGTTTTCTCCTTATTCTGGCTCAGATTAGTGTGTCATTCCAGTAATCACTTAGCAATGAAGAAGGAAGCTGTGACTGACAGCAGTTAAGAACCAAAATACTCTTGAAAAGGTTCAGCTTACAGGGTACTGTAGCTGTAACATAGCTAAAAAATACGTCCTTATGCCCAAGGAAGCCTGATAGATTTTATCATTTTAAATATGCATAATATATTTAAATACAAATAGCACCTTGATATGACTTTCGATATGAGAAAAAGAAAAATCTGACCAAATATTTCACGGAAGAAAGGAGCTTGTAACTTTTGGTGCCCCAAAGAGGCTATAAATGGCAGTCCCTAAGCAAGATGCATGGCTGGACATGGGAAAGCTGGACAACTATGCTTGAAAGGCCCTTCTGGCCAGTGGAAAGGGAAAGAAGCCTTTTTAAAACAATCTCTGAATTGCCAAAAAGCATGATTTCCTCCCATAAAAGAGAGAAGTCAGAGTTCAAAAGCCTCACGCTTTTAGACTCCAAACTTTTTTCATGACACTTCTCATTGTGGAAATTAGAATTAATGACTTAGAAAATACAACTGCTAGGCACAATGCCATATTTTCTTCCCTTATCAAGATAATAAAACATTTTTGCAAGAAACAGATGAGAAAGAAAAATGAAGCCAACATGAGAAATTTACACCAACTGGGTATTATTACCAAAGGAACTGAGAAAGCTGGAAAGAAATGTTTTCTGCATAAATTAGAATTATATTATGATGTCTGGTATCATACTTTGAAGCATATGTTATAAATAAAAGCCTGAGGAAAAAAAATGAAAAAGAAAAACAACACTTTGTAAAGTGGTTAAATGATCTTCTGGGAAAGCTGTCCTCTGGAGCTGATAGCGCACAACTCAATGTGAAGATTAGGCATGAGAAGCAATGCAAACAGTGCAGTAAAGAATGTTCTTTACAAATCTTAGCAGTCTATGCTATCAGTACTTGATGTAAATATTTTTTATTTAAATCAGATGTTTAAAATTGTAAATATTTTTAATGTTTATTAACTTGTATTAACTTCATTAATAAATCATATTAAAATACATAAGCTCAACATTAAAGTATTATAATTAATTGAAACATAATTAAAAAAGCGAATTCCCAGCTTACATCTTTCTTCATCATAGATTCAAGTAAAAGAAAATGAGGGGTAGCAAGTAAAAAATTTGCAAAGGGAGTTTCTTCAAATGTAAGTTGAAGTGGAAATTTCTATTCTACTCCATTTTCTTTTTAACAAGAAAAAATATAATCTTGCATATTCTTGAGCCATAAAAATGCCTTTACAAAGTAACTAGACTTCATGAGATATTAAAAAGATTTAGTTACGACATGGACAGGGAAATCCATTTGCCACAGGTGTGCATTAGCCACTGCAGATCCAGGAAGATCCATATTGTTCAACATTTCTTACAGGAAGAAAATTTTGTTCAAGGATTTGTTTTAAAAGAGAGTTTCACAGAAGGCCGCGTTCTACACAATTATATCCCTATTGGTCTAGAGGATTCACAGCACTCAGCTCCTTTTCTCTCTCTTGCACAATATCTGTAAGGTATCGCGTTTGTTCTCCATCCAGTTTGTTAGAAACATCCATGATGTTTCAGTATCATCTCTCTCTCTCTCCTTTTTTTTTTTTTTTTTTAAATGGAATTCCTCCATCACCCTTTGATACCTCACCACTGTTTAATATTAATATTCCTTTCCTTTTTTTATATATATATGCTATATATATATTCTATAAAATAATTTTCTTACCCTCACTTTCCATATCACACTGTGTCACACCAGCATCAGCTATGTCCCCACAACACATGTACTCAAATCCCCTCCAGGTAAGTCACTTTTACATAGCAGGTCACTGTGTCCAAGTATGTGAAGTAAAGTATCATTACTGAACATTTTTAGTGAAACCAAAGTGAAACGATTATTAAAGGTAAATACATTTAAATAATAAAGTGTTACTTTGTGTACTGGCTTTCCTGACTACAACCTCATTCTGAGCTGAGAAAGCCAAACAGCCTTCTGTCAAGCCTAATGGTGCAAAAACATTYGGATGACAACTAGTTTGACTGTGGTAGAAAGAAATCCTGCAAGCCTTTGTTAGCTGCCATAGCTTGGAGGCATTAGACCCACAAGCACAGCAGCAGTTGCCATTATTACTTAAATTTGGGCCTAATAGTCAAGAGAGGTCAGTTGTTCTGTAAAAACATGGGTCAAGAAAGGGACAAAGCAACCAAATTCTGCCTTCAGAAATATTGATATTAAGCTTGACTAGCTCTATTGGCAACAGAGGAGTTTACTCCAGATTTAGGATGGCATAACTGAAGGGTAAATTCAGAGTAATCCACTTGGTATCACTTGATTTTTATAAGTCTCATCAATAGCAGAGAAACAGGTTCTGCATAAAAATTCATCTGAAGACTGAGCCACAAGACTGTAATTCTAACTATTTTCTAGTAGCCTTTTAAACCATGATGATGAATGACCAGAGCTTACAATCTCCTTATTCTGCCAGAAAGAAATTGAGCACAATGGGGCCAGCATTAGATGAGTAGCTGAGCATAAAAGACATCCCATTTTCAAATATCTCAGGAGAACAAAGCAGTCCAGATTTTACACAAAAAGAAAAAGAGTGAATGAGCAATGAAACAAAATTAGCCAATACTACAATTTAAGAACAAAAGAAAAAAACTATCCTTCCACAGCTACTGATTTATGATGAGATTGTTCTCATGAGCTGAAATGACAGTGCAGCTTGCTGCTCCATATCTAGGGATCTGCACACAAGGCTAATAATGTGGATCTCAGAATTAAACACTTGATTTCATGAAGATTATGAAAGAAAGCTATTCCTAAATAAATTTAATTAGACTCCTCATTTTAATCAAAGACTGAAATAAAATCATGAGACTGTCTCAAGCCTTTAGAAAGGCTAAGTACTGAGTAACCTTTCCATTTAAAACATATTAAACCATAAACTTTTGTTTCTGTGCTGCCTCCCCAAGAAACGTACTGTTAGTTACAAGGCAAGTGTGAAATAATAGGATTAAACTCTGTCGTGCTTGTAAACAACTTGGGAAAATGTAACGATGAATGGAAAATGCTGACAAAGCTATGCTATTTGTTTAAATCAATGACTGATAATTTTACCTATGTCGGAGCACAAATGAACCTAATATGGCTACTGGATGACAGCAAAAAAATGTCTGTGGGAAAGCTGTTTGTAACATGATATCTGTACAGGGAA